TCCTATCCAGTTCCATCGTCTTTTCCTAATTTCCTCTTCAGCTAGAAGTTGGTTTGTTCTCTCCCACAGAAGGCTGTTGCTGATGGTATCCGGCCAATGGATGTTGAGTATCCTGCGTAGACAGCTATTTATAAATACTTGTACTTTCTTGATTGTGGTTGTTGTAGTTCTCCAAGTTTCAGCTCCATACAGTAGAACTGCCTTGACATTCGTATTGAAGATTCTCACTTTGATATTGGTTGAAAGTTGTTTTGAGTTCCATATGTTCTTCAATTGTAGGAATGCGACCCTTGCTTTGCCGATCCTTGCCTTTACGTCTGCATCTGAGCCTCCTTGTTCATCGATGATGCTTCCCAGATATGTGAAGGATTCTACATCTTCCAGAGTTTCGCCATCAAGAGTGATTGGATTGCTGTTCTCCGCTTTGAATTTGAGGACCTTGGTTTTCCCTTTGTGTATACTGAGGCCTACTGATGCAGAGACTGCTGCTACATTGGCTGTCTTTATCTGAATCTGTTCACGTGTACGTGATAGGAGGGCTAGGTCATCTGCGAAGTCCAGATCGTCTAATTGATTCTGATCTGTCCATTGTATTCCGTGTCTTCCCTCAGCTGTAGAGGTCTTCATAATCCAGTCGACCACCAGAAGAAAGAGGAAGGGAGAGAGTAAACAGCCTTGTCTGACTCCAGTCCTTACTTGGAATGCATCTGTCAGCTGTCCTCCATGCACTACTTTGCACTGTAGTCCGTCGTATGAGTTCCGGATAATATTGACAATCTTCTCAGGAACTCCGTAGTGTCGAAGAAGTTTCCATAATGTCCTCCTATCTACACTGTCGAATGCCTTTTCATAATCAATGAAGTTGATGTATAGTGACGAGTTCCACTCAACTGATTGTTCGACGATGATCCGTAGTGTTGCAATTTGATCTGTGCACGACCGATCCTTACGGAATCCAGCTTGTTGATCTCGAAGTTGGGCGTCTACTCCATCCTTCATCCGGTTCAGCAACAATCTGTTGAAGACTTTCCCTGGTATTGACAGTAGTGTAATGCCTCTGTAGTTTTCACATTTGCTCAGATCTCCTTTCTTTGGAATCTTGACGAGGTGTCCTTCTTTCCAGTCCATCGGCACTTGTTCCTCCTCCCAAATCTTTTTGAATAGAAGATAAAGCATGCTTGTGGTTACTTCGATGTCTGATTTCAGTGCTTCAGCTGGTATGTTGTCGGGTCCTGCTGCTTTCCCGTTCTTGATTTGTCTGACGGCCATTCTAATTTCTTCCGTAGTTGGTGGATTGACATCTATAGGAAGATCTATGTGTGCTGCTTCGATGTCCGGTGGATTCATTGGAGCCGGCCTATTCAGGAGTTCCTCGAAGTATTCTACCCATCTGTTACGCTGTTGTTGAATTTCGGTGATTGGCTTGCCTTCTTTGTCTTTGACCGGCCTCTCTGGTTTACTGTATCTCCCTGATAGTTTCTTCGTTGTATCGTAAAGCTGTTTCATATTTCCTTCTCTAGCAGCTTTTTCTGCCGTCGTTGCTAATTCTTCCACGTATTTCTTCTTGTCTGCTCTAATGCTCCTCTTCACTTGTTTGTTTGCTTCTATGTATTCAGCTTGTGCTTGGACTTTCTCTGCTCGTGTTCGGCTGTTGTTAACTGCGGCCTTCTTGTTCTTCCTTTCTTTGATCTTGTCCAGTGTTTCTATAGAGATCCATTCCTTATGATGGTATTTCTTTAGACCCAGATCCTCTTGACACGTTGAAGTTAATGCTTCCTTGATGCCTTTCCAGTTGTCCTCCATAGTAGTTTCTTCTTGTTTCAGTAGATCTTGTAAGGCTTGGAACCTGTTGTTGAGAGCTATCTTGAATTCATTGAGTTTGTCAGTATCTCGAAGGAAGGCTGTATTGAACCTTTGTATTGCTGTTTGTCCACTTGTCCAGTTCCTTTTTAGCTTCAGTTTTAAATTGGCTACAACTAGGTGGTGATCTGAAGCTACGTCAGCTCCTCTCCTGGTTCTCACATCTTCCATTGTCCTTCGGAATTTTTTGTTGATGCAAATATGATCTGTTTGGTTCTCTGTAGTGTGGTCCGGTGAGATCCATGTAGCCTTGTGTATACGCTTGTGTGGAAATATTGTGCCTCCTATGACCAATTTGTTGAATGCACATAGATTTGCAAATCTTTCTCCATTTTCGTTCCTCTCTCCCAGTCCATGTTGTCCCATAATATCTTCATATCCGGTGTTGTCTATTCCGACTTTGGCATTTAGATCTCCCATTAGAATGGTGAGGTCCTTTCTTGGGCATTTCTCTATGATTGACTGCAGCCGCTCGTAGAATTGATCTTTAATGTCGTCGTTGCTATCATTGGTGGGTGCATAACATTGGATAATATTCATTAAGATCCCCTCCTTCTTTGTTTTGAATGATGCTTTGATGATTCTGGATCCGTGAGATTCCCATCCTACAAGTGCATTTCGTGCTACTTTGGACAGCATAAGAGCGACTCCCTGAGTGTGTGGAGCATTGTCCTCTTCGTGACCGGAGTATAGCAGCATCTCTCCCGTAGCTAGCCTTTTCTGTCCAGCTTGGGTCCAGTGGGTTTCGCTGATTCCCAGTACTGCTAAGTTGTATCTCCTCATTTCCATTGATATTTGACTGGTCTTCCCGGTTTCCCACATTGTTCGAACGTTCCATGTACCTATAAAAATTTTTGCTCTGGTTGTTAGAAGGGGCATCAGCCTCGTGGCTTCCGAAGGAACTCGGCTTTCACCATGAAGCGTCATAATTCTTCTAAATGAAGACCTTCTAACTCCCATGGCAAGGTTAAAATGGTTTGGATTATTTTTTCTGGTAAGCGTTTTTTTAGCGAGTTAGTTTTCTACGGGATGGGGACGCTAACCCCATGCCCAACCCTCCTCCTTTACCCGGGCTTGGGACCAGCAGCAACCCTATAAGAGGTACAGGCGGAGTTATATATATATATATATATATATATATATATATATATATATATATATATATATATATATATATATATATATATGCCTAATCTATCAATTACTACCTCCCACATTCACAGCCACTTTTGGATAAATCTTGTACAAATTTTGTTTCCTATTTTATGGTATGATGTGGTTTGTCTGGTTGATATATAAACCCAGTATATTTGAAATAAATGATTCATATAACAGAGTTTGAGATTAGTGTTCTGGAATTAACAGGCAGGGCTAGGCGGGAAACAGGACCGATAAGGATTCTAGACTGCTCGTACTTGTTTTATGTGTCATTGATCCTGTCGATAATTCACAGTTCTCTAATTGTCGGTATCATTACGATATACATTAATAGGACACAGAGCACAAGATATAACAATACCCAAACACACTAAATTAAAGTTCAGTGCTGAACTTCCAGATGTACCACTTTTCTCAAGATAATAATGATTATCATCATTTTCTAATGTGATTGTTTTCAGTGAATGAATAGAATAATGCTTCAGTAAACAAATTGCCTAAAAATATTTTTGAATAAAGATCTTCAGTAAGAATTAAATTATTCATCTTGATCATGTGTGGCAATGTTATCAAATACAAAATAAATTTACCAAATGAAATTCGAAACATGAATATTTACTTTTGAAAGACTTTTGTTGTTGTACAATTGTGCTTAAATCAATGAAGAATGTTTGTTTAAAGATTCATTATTTGTGATATGTAGACTGTATTAATCTTGATAGACCTTCTATATTTCCTATTACCATTTACTTATGTTAATAATATGATCTGTTTATTAGTTACTTAAATATTTATCAAATATTCTATTCATCATATTCGAAGTTTGAATGGCGCGTAAAAAAACACAAGTAATTTTTATAATAGTTTGGTATTATTTTTGTTTAATACGTGTAGTGAATCCTGTTTGGTGAAGACGATGATACAATGCAGAGTCTTCTGGTAGCACTAAGCGACAATACCAGAATGTTTGGAATGCGCTTCTCTCCCTCTGAATGCATGTTATTGCTACAGGACTGGTCTGCGTCAACACCTGAACTAAGGATAGGGAGTGAATTAGTCGAACACGTCGACAACTTCACTTATCTTGGAAGTCTGATCAGCCCTAATGTGTTGGTGTCTGACGAAATCTCAGCACGGATTCGAAAAGCTCGTTTGGCTTTTGCCAACTTACGTCACCTATGGCGAAGGCGAGATTACCGTCTATCAATAAGAGGACCAATATACTCTCCAGCCGTTCGTTCTGTTCCACTTTACGGCAGCGGAACATGGCCTTTAAGAGTAGAAGATACGCGTTAGCTACTAGTACTTGAGCACAGATGCCTTAGAAATATTGCTGGCGTCTGCTGGGATCACCGGTTAAGTAATAGTGAGGTTAAACGCAGGATATTAGGGAATGATGGTAAATCAGTCGATGAGGTTGTTAATCTTCATCGACAGAGATGGTTGAGCTACATGTTACGTAAACCTGAACACCGATTACCACGACGTGCAAAGCTAACCGATGTTGAACATGGTTGGAAGAAATTTAGGGGCAGCCAAACCAAAACGTGGCATCAGTGCTTGAAGTCACTAACTTCTAGTCTGAGCCATGTTGGTAGATGTAGACTACTTGGTTGGGGTCCGCGTGACTATCGTAGCCAATGGTTGGAGACTCTTGGTGACATGGCTCAGAATCGATCACAGTGGAGTAGGTGTATACACTCTCTGTCTTCCCTTAAACCGTGAGATAAAAATTGCTTTATATATTTCTGTCTACGAACTAATTCTTTCTTCCTGTACTATATCCTTATATACAATCTTTCTTTTATATATTACCACCATTGACTTAACAACTCCTATGAATACGGTGTTGTGCTATTGACGTATGGCAACTTGGACCGATGCATATATGTGCCTGGTCCTACGTTGTATCTGACTGACTGACTTCATTGTTACAACAACCGGAAGCTACTATAATATACAAAAGTTTGGCATTCGATAAATCTCGTTGCTTACATTAATTCTTCATTAGATAAAATATCTAGTTTAAATTCTGGTAGAAAGAAAACTTAACAGAGTAAGAGAAGTTACATAATTCATGAGTTTCGTTGTCCCCCGTATTTCTTTTTCAAATCTTCAAGGAAGAAACCGAATGTTCCTTGTAAACGTAAACACAAGTTTAACCTGTTGGTAAAAAAATTAGACAATTTAGTTTATTGATTACACAATAAATGATAAAATACATAGCATAATTAGAACATCATCAATGTTCATACAAAGTGCCAAAAATCAATGATTTAGTACTCATTGCTGACTGGACAAATGCAATTACATTGAATAACTTGTATAGGTGACCTAATTTCACAGTAATCCTATGTTGACTTGTAAGTAGTGTCAAGATGGATTTTCATTTCTAGAAAGAAGCATCAACCTATAGAGGTAACAATGTTTCGAGTGAGCTAGTTGACCACTGATATTATTAGAAGAAAGTAGATCATTGATTTTAAACTCCGTAATATACCTAAAGGTTAATCATCTGACTTGATGTTAAATGCACGCAACTGAGAAACCCAATAATATGAAAACATAGCTACATAGTAAGACCTCAAGTTAAAAGATCCATTTCTGATTTCGTTTCATGAATAAACCATATTCAAATTGTCCACTACTCAACAAACATGATTTAATTATGAATCTTACACGTAGTTAAATATGAGATAAACTTACCAACATTCTAAGAAAAATGTCCTGTATATTTAAATATTAATTAATAATCTGTTTATAATAGAAAAATAAAATATTGACTTCTGAAAACAGTGTCAAAACTTGTATTTGTTTCTTTATCATTCTGTTTATTTAAGTAAAAGTGAAATTTTTAATGTCCAGGTCATGGAATAATGGTATTGAATAAGAGTAATTCGGCTATCTCAAAAGAACTAACGTATGTTGATTTATATACTTGAACACCACAGTTTCATTGTTCAATATTAGTTATCTGACATAATTTTGATTCATGAAGGAAACGTTTTCTGGAGTACGAAATTTACATTTTAGATCAGCTTGAGACATCTAATATATCAATGAAAACACTAAGTTATTGAATGTATATTACTTTGTGGATATTATAGTATTTTAATACTTGAAATCATGAGTCAATTGAAGCCAGACCACCATGGAAAACCTGGAAGCACTGAACTCCTCAGCCGTGCTCTTCCACGATCTCATCTCGCGAGATTCGAATCGAGGAGCGGTCCTAGTGAGAAGCAATGAGCAGTGGAGTTCAACCAGGTCTGTTGTGAAATAGTAACACAGTGAAGACAATGGTGGATGTGTTGCTCAATTTCATGGATTGGCTGAAGTTAGACATTAAAACTGTTGGATGCCAACCCGCTCAGTGGTCTAGAGGTTCGGCGTTCGCGCGCAAGACCGATAGGTCCTGGGTTCGAATTTGGAGAATTAAGATCTTGGATGTGCACTGCAGAGGAGTCTCACGTTAGAACAAAACGACCGTCCAGTGCTTCAAGGTTGTTCATGGTGGTCTAGTTTCAATTGACTCATGATCTCAACTACTAAAAATTGATGTCACAGTAACAACTCTAATATTTTGAATGGATTATTTTACCTGTTCTAAACTAACAACAACGTTCATTAAAGAATGGTTCGCATTAAACTTAATGTAGCTATAAACTACTGATTAATGTGAATATAACAACTTTTTTCTCAGTGAAACAGGTTTCATTGCCATAATGGTTCACCATTAAACTGACTCGCGTTACTGGATGACAATGAAAATCATAAATCTACTTCTGAGCAACTGTAATAGCAAATTAATGCTTAAGAAAATTCCACGATAGTCTAAATGACCTATTGTAAATCTACTTTTATAGTTAAACTTACCTAACGTCGAAAATAACTAAGAAACAACATTTGCATTCTGTAAGTTTTCTATTTTCAAAGTAATTTTTATCAAATACCGTAGTTTATATGCTTAATGGGAAATAGAAAAGTAAAATTTGGAATGTCTTAAATGTCATTCATTACCCAAAAAAATACACCATCAAAGTAACACTTCTACATGCATTGCAAAACGCCCTTCGAAACTCAAATCCAATAAACATAACCTCAAATGTGGAATTTATTTATTGAGCTACAGAAACATGAGTACCATTCGTTGGTGTAATAGAAACAGTATTGTCAAGGCTTGGTACTTTTCGCAGCCTAGTAACTTAACCAAATTAATTCATCATGTTAATGCTAAATAACTATACATGTTAATTATCTTGACTGTCTTGATGATAAAGGTTTATAGCGCTGACTAAAACACATTCTATAGAAAATAATATATAGTGCGTGTAGTCTATTTGCTGAAATATCTTACGCAGTACAAATTTACGTTATTTGATGCTATGGTCATTTTCTCAGAAGAAAAATAATAAGCACAAACGCAAGGAATAATATCCACCACATCCAGGTGATAAGTTCTCATGGTGTTAAATATCAGTAATAACAAGAACAATAACATACTGTTTAAATTAGTGAATATTATCAAACTGACGTAGAGAAACTCAATTAACATGACCTGTTTAATATTAAAACGAATACCTCGAGTTGATATTTTAAGCTTTTGTCTGCGTTATATCATGTACTGAATGAATCAACAAATGTGAACAATCGGTTTTTCAGAGGGGGTCATTCAAAATTTTATCAGATTCTTATTTTAAGTGATTCCAGTATAATCATGGTTTGACTTACCACCTTCTCCAGACACTACTGTATATAGGATATTAAAATTGCTCAATACGTAATTGCTTGATTATCAAGGATAAATATTCAAAGTGTTGTGATCAGACAAAAAGGTCACATCAGTTGCCGAAAACACTCATTTTTAAACGGAAATCGGGATATGTTAATGTCACCGAATCGCCTTTACACTCAAGTACAAACAACAAATACATCTCCACTACATATTTATAGATTTAGACTGTAGTAACCATCTGTAATTAACACACTAAAAAGTAGTAATTTTATAAAACTTTCTGTGAATCCAAAAATGAAACATTTTCCTTAACTCTGACTTGAAGGACCATAGTACTAACTAAAAAAGTCAATTAAGACCACTGTTGGTGGGATTGATATTGTAGTGAACGAGGACACAAGTGGAGACAATCGAATTTATTTGAACACAAAATTACAGAATGTGAATCATGCAGTAAGTTCTTCATTTGCAAAATGTCAATCAATCGCCTCAGATTTCAATTTTTCTTCGTTTTCACACCAATCATTCTCTGTTCACGTTCTCTTTTCTTCAATCTTCTTAACCTTCTGCCACCATGCATTTCACTTTCTGTTGACGATACATACTACTTATATTTGTCGACATCAGTAGCACACACCACATGATTTGATGTTGATAAGAGTAATGCGTCTCAGATGTTTTTATGAACCACAGTCAAATATTCAAATTTTTCAGTAATTACCAATCAAGACTTTATCATACATGTTGTTGTAACAAACGAAACTTGAAATGACCGATTTCTAAAACGTAAGTAAACTACATATATCGTGATATTTAAAAGTAACGGTTTAGAGACGATGAAATAATTTGAGTCCATTTGTATTCAGTTAAGCAGATACTGAACTCCGCCTATAGCTCTTCTAGAGATTTTGCCGGTCCCAAGCCCGGGTAAAGGAGGAGGGTTGGGTATGAGGTTAGCGGCCCTATTCCGTAGAAAACTAACTCGCTAAACAAACGCTAACCAGAAAGCAAATATTGACAGATATTTAGTCTGATTCCCCAACCCCAGAAATCATTTATCAACATCATTATTCACACTATCAACTAATCATATTTTAATAAACTTACCATTAATTCCTTCAAGAAATATAAGCGATAAAGTTAAAACTACTGTAGATAGTAGAAAATAAGAATGCATTATTTCATGTAGATTGTTCTAGAACATTTAACAAAACGTTATTCATATATACTATTCCATTAGACATCACAGGTATTTATAAACAGTTCATGAGTTATATTTGTAACCCCTACATGTCAACAAATCGATTATATTCAGTATTTGTATTCTCTTTAAAGTAATTTGATCCAAATAAACATTACTTCTTTTTTGATATAGATCAAGTTTCTATTTAAGTTGAAACTATACTCCAATAAAAAACAACAACAACAACATGATTTACCTTAAGTATTTAGCACGATTATTAGGACTAAAATCGATTTTGTTAGTAAAGGATATAATAGAAACCAATCCATTCGTGTTTTTATTCTAAGACACATTTACTGTAAATTATATTGTGTTAGTAAGTTATGTATATTACTGATTTTTATTTGAAGTAGTGTAGTGAACAGAACACGAGTGGGGACAATCAAACGTCATGGTTAACTGTGTTCACATTTCCTCGCGGTATTAGTACTTTTACAAAAATTCTCATATACATATATGATTGTACAGCTTGATAATAAATTCGTTGGAAAGAGATCCCTTCGCTGAACAATCAAACGTACTTAACACAAAATTACAGGACCTGTTAATAAAATCTAACAATAATTAAGTAAATGCTTAATTTGCAAAATATCCACCAATTGTCTCTTAATGACTCAGACTTGATTGTTCTTGCATTTTTATACAAATTGCATTCTCTTTCGATTCTTTACTGTTCGATCTTCTTGTCTCTCTGCTGTCAGACCTTCTGTTCACGACTAACATCATATACTACTTATGTCAATATAAGTAGCACACACCACAGTAGTAATAAAATATCGTTTCTAAAAATCAGAATGGGTTTTGTGGAGAATTTTAGAATTTTCACGATCCCGCACTGCTGAGGAGTCCCATACCAGGACGAAACGGCCGTCCAGTGCTTCCAGGTTTTCAATGGTGGTCTAGCTTCAACTGACTCATGATTTTAAAAACTGTGAAAGTTTCTAAAAATATTTTAATATTATAGGTACTATGATTGATAATCTATTTTATTTAAATTGAACTTTCGATATAGTAGCAAGACTGAAACTATCAGTTCATCTAGCATTAACTATTTATCTCATTCAAACCAGATTCTTTGATAAAAGAATTACGTTATCAAAATGAATAAAGTAATTTTTTACGTGCGATCAATAACAGTTAATCCATATGGTTTCTATATTTTAATAGTTGAATTCCTAAGTCAATATAAGTTGAACCACCATTGAAAACCTGGAAACATTGGACGACCGTTTCGCCCTAATATGGGACTTCTCAGAAGTGCTCATTCACGATCCTGTATGCTGGACTTGAACCCGTGAACTTTGGTCTTGTTCGCAAGCGCTTAACCTCTAAACAACTGAGCCAGCGTGCGAAACCGAAATTTCTGGGTTCAAATGTTGAGTGCGGGATCCTGTATGAGCGCTGTTAGGTAGTCCAATACTAGGATGAAACGGCCATCCAGTGCTTCCAGGTTTTCAATGATAGTCTAACATTCATCGATTCATGATCTGAATCATAATACGTTCAGCTGTACTCGTTTAATTCTATCGGCCTTAAATTTCACCATTTTGGGGATTCTTAGTTATCAAATCAGTTTAAACACTTCTAAACACCATGGAATCCTTTAGTAACTTTTAAATCCTTTATAGCGGCGATGATGGCAGCAAAAATACTGTTAACTAAGTGTTAATAATTCTAAATACTCCTGGATATATGTATTAGATTTACTGTAATTTAACTTTCAAAAGCTATTGCTTCTCGGATTACCCTTCCTAAAATCTATCCACACCAGTTTTTTATAATTTGTTGACAACTAACTCAAATTAAGTCAAGCAACATGACTATATAGTAGAGTTGGTATTGCATTATTTCTTCTATCAAAGTTGTATTTTTGTGTTTATTCTGACAATTGTTCACACTTTTCTGTAAGCTCATAAAAGTGATAATTTATTCTGAACTGACTACTCGTAATCATAATGAATCGATTATTTTCCAAATGAACAGATATTATTCAGCAAACACATCAGTTGGAGAGGCATTGAGGACAAAGAAGATTGGTTTTCGTTCGTGAATGATCACCTGTGCTTAAGCATTAAACCAGTAAAGATGGAAATCATGACCTTAAGTTTTCAAGTCGAGCGTGATACATTTAGAAAACGGAATAGAAGATTATTGGTTTGATTAACTATTCTTATTCATCATCTACAATCATTAATTGTTATCTTTCCAATCACGACATGATCGGAATCTATTAATCACAACTGCTCACTGCGAGTTCGATTATCTATCTCATATGTGATCAATAATAGGTGGATTGTGACTGTGATGAAATTATTATTCATCAGCTGACTTAGATTATTTTCATTCCACTAAGCAGAGCTCATCATCTGAGAACAATGTTTTAAGTATATTATCTACATTTATAACAGGTTTTTCATCCTGAAAAATATGGTCATTACTCTTGGTAGCTTGTCTACTGAATGTAATGGTAGAATGGGAATGAGGAAGGAATTTTCAACGCAGTTGAATTGATTTCGAATCAGCAAATTAAGATATAATTGGAATAATATAGAAGCGTCTGAATTTTGAGTGATACGACCATGTCATTTAGTTACTGATCATATTATCAAACAATCAATTTCGTACACCGGACATGATTTCCTATCAAACTTAACTTATATTAGTTTGTCTCTAAAACTGATTTTGAGGTGTTGTTTTAATATTTTCAAAATGGAGTGCATAGTAAATTGAATAACACTCAAGAAACCCCACTTTTACATGTAATGCCTACCGAACCAAAACATATTTCAGTATCATTGAAATCAACACTCGATCTAACTTGAAACACCACTAGAAATCTGGATGCCCTTGGTGGCCGTTTTACTCTAGTAAGTGACTCTTCAGACGTGAGCGTCCACGACCCTTTCACACGGAATTTAACCCATGACACTCACTTTGGCGTAAACTGCTGAACTCTAGACCATTGACTATGGAAGCCAAAGGACGATGGTTGCAATGTGTCAAGGAATGATTGAATGTAAAACTTAACACCACCGGTTGCCAACCCAGTGGTCTAGATTTTTAGTGTTCGCGCACGATACTGATTTTCCTGGGAGCGGTCGTGGTTGCCTACTGCTGAGGAGTCCCATATTAAGATGAAACAGCCACCAAGTGCTTCCGGATCTTCAGCGGTGGTCTGAGTTTGATCGGTTGATGAGTTGAGTGAAGTCCAATTATCGTCACAACCTTTTACTGGGTAGTCTTGTTTGTCTTTAGTCCTGATGTAATATATGCTACTTAACCTGACAAATATAAGTAGTATGTGGCCGCAATCGAGAGTGAAATGACTGACAGCATAATTGAAGAGAATGGGATGGAAATCGAATAGGAATCAAAATAACAGCAGAATAAGAAGAATAATGGAGTATGTAAAGGCAGCGCAAAGAAGATGTGCAAACGATGTATTCATTGTATGATTTTCATATTTTACTAAACAACTGTGTTATTTTGCATTGAACAACACTTTAGTTCTCCATACTAACTATTCGTTCATCACGCTGATATCTGAAAAACATAGTTTTAATCCAATTAAGGTCGCGATTTTGTTTCTTTTATATGTTAATTTACTATTTTCCAAATCCGAATTTCTATTAGTTTGGGTTTTACAACCAAATCGAAGATCAGAGAAGCATGTAATTTATCTCAGTATTGCGTGAAGAACAAAAATGTGAGTTTATATTTACACTTACTGTATACTATACGTTAAGTTTCCCACTGATTCTATCATATTTTATTGTATTAGCATGACAATTATCACCTGTTCATCTCCATAACTTAAGATCCTGTTTCGATCCTGTAAGTGATTTTCTGTATCCATGACTCATGAATCTCAGAATCGAACTGAAGTATTTCTGCATTTGTTTTCGATTTATCGTGATCTTTCAACGCTTAATTTGCTTGCTTAAATCAATTTTTATTGATCTCTACCAAATAAATATTTCTTTCAAGATTTGTCCATCTTTTAGAAGCAGAATATTGGAGAAAAAGGAGTATTTGATAGCCTCTTATCAAAGTGTAGCTAGAATTCATCACCATCAGTTCAAGATACATCATAAAGATAACAACCTGAATGAATTATCTACTGAAGGATCTAGATCTTTTTGATATCACGTGTATATATATCACTAGCATAGAGCATTATGTAAATATTGAATACTATTAATTTGAAGGACTCGCACCACATCAAACATTAAGTTTCATTAAAATGTGTGTGGTTATCAGTAGATGTAAAAAATTTTTATTCATAACTGATGTGTTTTGTTTTATAAAATTTTAGGAAGTAAACGTTTTTCTGTTACTATGGGTAACAGGTTTTATTTGCACCTCCAAGAGTTACTGGTAATGCGTCCAAAAAACATCTGAATGTTTCAGCCAAACGTTCGTACAAGTTTTTCCTGAATGTGTAGAATATGAAGAAAGTGATAGAAGCGATTAATAATTGTTCATGAAAAAGTAAGTGTAAACGTGTGTACAATGAAGTGAATATGCAAATTTTTCGAGTCAAAATGAAGTTGAATTCGTCTCATTGACCATAGATCACGTGTTTATAGGATAAATATATTCTTAGAATTTACTTGAAAACCTCTAACACTCCACCAGTACTTTATGTTATGTACCAATTACATAACATTTTTGGTATGACCCGATCGAGTGTAAAATAGATTCTACTGTTCCGTTAAATACAATGATTACCCTTTGAACTATTGTATTCTTTAGTACAATACAAACACACTGGTTTAAAAAAATACTATTGTCAACAGTGAGTAATGTAAATCCATATCTGTGAACTGAAATAAGTTGCGTGTTATTATATAGTGAACAACATATTGTTAACACAAGATCTGGCAACAACCGTCGGTAAAAAATCTTAAGAAAGGCTGATAATTTCATTTTGTTAAGTCGAATATCTTTAAATTAATGTGTACTTAGATAAAGTCTACCGTGATAGTATTTGCTTGTGTGTGTTAGAAGAATGTCAAGTTCCAGAGTGAACACCAACTCTAGAATGCAGGTACTCCAGCTGACGAGTTCCAAATAAGACGAAACGTGCGTCCTGGATTCCACTGATAGCCACTATCCATCTCTGCTTATGTCAGCATTTTTAGTTTACTTTTCTAAAATAAAACTCATTGTAACTGTTTGGAATTTTCCTACTCCAGTAGAACATTGAATACTTCCTAAAATGTATTCCTCAAGATCATGAGTTAGTATGCAGTATAAATACGAATTAATTAAAATGGATGCTTTCTACTTTAAATGTGGACAAGTTTAGCTTTGTTTAACATGCTGAAAAAACGTTCCATGGAACGTTTGAGCTGAATACGACATTAAGTACAGATTATTTTAAAAATCATTCTGTTCATTATAGAATATCAATTAAATGATAGTGTTGTGTATTAATGTTATACTCTTACTACTAGGATGATCATATTTATTGGGATAATTTTTTTTTACTAGAGTATTGTCAGAATCTTCAACTAATTGATTAGCTTATAATCTATAGCAGGTTGAATAAGTCATACTCGAAACTGGGAAACTAGACGTCAAGTGGTCTTTATACGTATATCAATGTAGCTGAAAAAAACAATTTATTACCTATCGTGCAACAAACTTTCATGAACTTATCTCTCTGTATTCAACTTTTAGTTCACAACAATATTTTGATTAGAAATATGTATCACTATTTTGTTAAATGTAAATTTAATGTAATTAAATATATCGCAGTGGTTAAGATCATGAGTCAGTGGAAGCTAGACCACCATGGAAAACTTGGAAGCACTAGTGGGTTTGAATCTCGCAGCGGGCGAGGTCGTGCATGCGCATTACTGAGGAGTCCCACAATCGGACGAAACGGCCCTCTAGTGCTTCCAGTTTCTCCATAGTGGTCTAGCTTCAACTGACTCATGATCTTAACCATTGAAATTACTATAATCTCCACAAAAACCCATCTGAAATCAAATATATATCCATAATAGTGTAGTGTTGTACAACGAATAATTCATATTCATTTATTATTCTAAGATATTAAGAGCAGTAAACATTAGATTATATCAATCAATCCTTAGTTTACTAGTTAAAACACAAGAGTCTGCAATTAATTAAGATATGTATTCAATTTAGTAAATATAACATATTATGATTGTGATGAGAGATGATCTTGATAATTTTGTTTCGATCCAAGAGTGCATCGTTCCGTATTAGCCATGAATACTATGAGCTGTATAATAAGTAGGATAATAGAGAAACTGACTTACCAAAGGTCTAAGATAAGCTGTCTGAAGTGTGATAATAATTCTTTTTAAATGAAACTATCAACGTTTCTACAGAAAGTCATGAATAACTTTGAGAATTTAGCAAAATTATGATTTCTGTCTATATGCAACAACAATTAATAAAAATATATTAAAAGATTTCAGCTGTCGTTTCTTGTCACATTGGGTTCTCTACCGTTATAGTGAACCGAACACGGGTGAGAACAATCGAACGTATTTAGCACAAAATTACAGAATTACGCGGTAAAATAGAAAAACCATATAGTGAATCGTTAAGTTGCAAAATATTATTCCATCATATCAAATCGAACTGTTCCTGCTGCAATCATCAATCGATTGTCTCACATTTGATTGTTCATGGGTTTTCTTACAAATTGCATTGTGTTCCCGCTCTTCCTTTCTTGATCTTGCCCCATCTTCTGCTGCCAGACATTACGTTTTGCAACTCGCGTCATATACTATTTACATCAATATAAGTAGCACGCACCACACCGTGACCCAATAGATTAATACTTAGAAAGAAATATCTATGCTAATTACTTTTCACACATTTCTTCAACACATAAAGATGATATTGAAGTTTACTTTCACCAAATAAAAACATAACAAATTCTTATTGATATACATATCAGGAGAAGTAGGTATTTCACGGTGTTTTGCTTATAAACTTAACTTTTTCTCTCTATAAATGTACAGCATACTTTTTAATACCAGGGCAGGGTTAGATGGAGAATGCTGGTGAGCGGCCTATGCTTCTTCACGAGGAGTAACAGGCGTAAGTAAGTAAGTAATACTTTGTAATAGACTCAAGCACTAAATCGTTCAAATGGATTTATCCACAATCTCATTTTATGTACGTTCTCAGAATAATACTATAACATCAATACAATAAATAAACTCTTACTTCCAATCATATTTGTTTAGAAGGATGATGAGATTAAGCATCATTTTATTGAAGGTTATTGACTTATTTACATACAAAAGTATCTATAATTGTACATATTCAATGATGAAGTAACTAGTTAATAATTGATTATTTAGAATAGAAGGGAACTTCACAATATACATTGAAAATAACTTAATTTCAACTCACTCTAAATTGAAGATAACTGAAATATATATATATATATAATGCTTACGTGGATAACTCTGCTATCGTGATTAGTTGGTACCATGTTAAATCAAAGCCAGAATACATAACTGACCATTTTTCTAAATGTTTTATACACCATGTAAGATATTATTGAAGATTTGACTAACTCATTGTGAAACTACCATAGAATATCATATTCCTGGTATATAGACGGCTACATTTCTGTTGGATAACACTATTCAACAGCCAATATATATTTTATAAATATTGATCAAATTACAAGTGGACAACATGTGAAATACATGGAAATAACAATTGGAAGAACCAATAAATATAATTGTTCCGCTTTACGGATGTAGCTTCATTTAAATAGCTAATAATATACTTCATGAAATACAAATCAGTATCAATAATTCCTTCCAGCACAAGCTAGTCAACATGTAGACAGTAAAAATAAAATAATTTCATTCATAAATGAAACCGGTGAGACTATAATTTATGGACGACCTTTGAGAGACGCCAGACTGACCTTGAGAGTGTCCCCTCAATATCTAAGACCAAATGAGGGTTATAAACCCGTGTGAGGAATTAGAATTATGATTTACAATTGATTGTTAAGGTTACGAATTAGATTTAGGGTTTTCATCACGAACTGATATCAGCTATAATGCCAAAATTCTATTTATCCAAATGGATGAGTGAATTTCGCGCCATTATACGAGACCTGTTATCTTATACCTGATTGGTTCGTCCATAAATTATAGTCTCACCATGAAATCATCTCGTTTCTACAATCCATTAGGTTTATCATATAAGTTGAAATAGTTGTTCAGGGCTGCTTGCTTTGCATTTTGCTCTGGTTTATTTTATTTTATAATGACAAATTAGAGATAAATGATCATAACATGATATTTACAAACTATTGATTTCCATTTTTTTCTATTACAAAAGTAAACCTAATGTCCATTGACTGAATTTGGTCTTTTCATATCTGAATACTGTCAGTAATTATATTTCTATATTTGTTATAACGGTTGGTTTTCCCACGTTTACACGTATGGGACGTTAATTTACCTTAGACGAATATCTACACTAGATTCCCTCCCAGTATTCTACTCTACAGGACCTCAACACAACTCAGATCGAAAACACGTGATTAACCTGACTAGAATGTAAATATATTTCCAACACAACCCAACAATAATGAACAATCAGTGATAATAATTATAAGGATATGGGAATATATAACACATCTGACACCTGCCAAACTATCTACATGTTTGACTAAGCAGACAACAAATCATTATCATTCTCGCCCACACATAAATATTCTTTACCGCTATATAGTTTTCTTCAAGAATAGATAGTAAGGCTTTCACATGATTACAACCAATGTGAAAAACTACTATCATATTTAATTGCAAACATTTGTGCTAAAACAATATTTACTGAAGTTTAAGTCTTTCAGTTATACGGTATTCCACTTGCTTATTTCTATTCGTTCCACGAACTAGTAACTTAGTGAATTGAAAATATCATAAAAATTTTTGGTCCTTGGATGACCTAATCAACTTATTTTGTTCGCAACTTCTCTGATTAGAGATAAATAAGACAAATGGTTTTTGAGCAGTTTCATTCTTGTAATAAGGTTTCTCTCAATCGAAGTAATAAAATGCTAGGTATAACCAATATGACTGGTTCAGCTGTTCTATAAACGGTTACCATAACTTTATAGGAATTACCACAAAGAATGCATGTAATCTATTATGTAAAAAAATATGTTTAACATTATTTCAACAGGACATTAGCCATGAAAATATTATATTGGTAAGCATCCTAAGCGTTTTCAAAAGTACTACCTCCACTTCCCGTTCGTCCTAAAATTAAAATCAATAATGAAGATATTTATTCTGAGAATTACATACCGAAATTATTAGTCAGAATATATTTGAAATACAGGCGGTAAACAGTCACGTATTTAACCACAAACAACTTCAGTTGATGAAATCTTGAAGTGATCTAAGTTAGACCATCAGGTTTTCAGTGATCGTCCTTTCGTGATCTCAATGAAAGTCAACACTTTCCCTGACTCCTAACTGACAATTTCAGTGAGATATTTTATCACATCATAAGTCTATATGTCTGTTAGGTAGTGTTTTCTGTTTCAGTTTTCTGTGCAATGAATTAATAGCTATTTGTTACCCAAAAATATCCATCGTTTCCATACATGTGTTACATCAATGGTTATCATCCAACCTGAATATAAAGCATCGCTGTTGTAATGACAATAAATATTTCAGCATATAAACTTATTGTGCTAATAATAAACCAACTTAAAGTTCATACTCAGTATCTGGTTTATTTTCAGTTTGAAAGAACAGTTCAAATGTCATTTATTTCCAGTAAATAATCTTAATGCAGTACGAAGCATTTGATAGCCAGACTTGGATTTATTAGATCATAAATTATTTATATTTTTTCTGTTGTTGATATTAGTATGCGTGAAAAAGTGGAACAAAACTGAAAGATTCAACAATAGTTAAATGTTGAACAGTTGAATAACAGTAACTAATCGACATTGTCAAGGTCACATGAATAACTGATTACATTACTAAGTAAACCTACAACATTTCTGTGTATTTTACACTTAAGAAAACGAAGGGATTTTTGTGGTATGATTGGACAAGTAAAATATTTAAATACATTTACAGGCGTACTGAATCTGACTTTTAACAGACAGTTAAGACTATTATTCAACCAGGTCTGTTGTGAGATAGTAACTCATTGAAGACAATGGTGAATCTGTCGCTCGATTTCGTGGATTAGTTGAAGTTAAACATTAACACTGTTGGATGACGGTTCAGTGGTTTAGTGGTTAAATGCTCGCGCGCGAAACCAGTGGGTCCTGGGTTCGAATATCGCAGGGGGCGAGGTCGTGTATGCGCACTGCTGAGGAGTCCCACAATAGGACGAAACGGCGGTCCAGTGCTTCCAGGTTTTCAATGGTGATCTAGCTTCATTTGACTCATCATCTTAACCATTGAAATTACTATTATTTGATATTAGGCTATCCAATGTAAGGTAAACTGAGATGTTATATGAACGTAACACTAAAATGTATCATCTTCTAAACAATATACTATGAATCAGAGTATCGTTGAAACTTTCTTAGAGAAAAACTCCTTCAAACTAATCTTTAATAACAATTGACTATTTACACTCAACTCTATATTCTATGGATAAGTTTAATGTAAGTTGTTAAATAATATAAACTTTTTCTAAAATTTTACTTTAACACATAATTGTCAAGACGTACCATTCACTTCTTGTAATATGATCACTGAAAGTAAAAACAAAGATCGCAGTAAAATTTTATTGAAATCCATACGATTAATGAATCTAACTACTATACCGTCGTTTAGTCTTCGGTATTAATAATTAAATAGTGGCTGCAGTATAAATAGGTAATCTAGATCATTATTATGTCAGCCAATCATTTAGTAACCAATGAAAAGTGTTGGCTAAACAAAGTGTGTTCTATTTTTACTTCCTAAAATCAATCTATTGAATACAATTTATTCGTAATATCATGAGAAACAATAAAGTACTAATTGTACATTTCGTTACATTTAGAGCATATACACAATCACAAACATAAACATACACACACACACATGCAAAACAAAGCAACTCATATTACAATTGATCAAAAGACTTAATTATACAAATTATATTGCCATCAGGCAAAATCATACAACTAATAAATCAATATACAATTTCGGATTCAGATTCCTTTTTACTTCTTCCATTTACAATTTAGAATAAGAGTTGTGAACATGACAAGAGTGAAATTGTATTTTCAGATATTGGCTAGCAATCCTATCTGGGATTTATGTTTTGTTTTCTTTGAAATCTTCATTTTAGTATTCATATTCTCAGTATTCGTTTATATCGAATCTCTTTTAACGAAGACAGATCCTGTATGAAATCGATTAGATCATGTTGTGTTTTGCAGTGCCCAATTTTAATAATGATGTTCAATCATCCCATATATGAGTGCAACCATCTATTCGAGTGAAAAGACTCAAATCAAGAAAAAAAGTTTATTGACCAACCGAACCAGAACATGTTTCTTAAAAAACTCAGTCACCAATGATCTATTTATTATTTTTGGGAGATTTTAATTATTTCTTGTCTAATAACGGATACTTATCATTTTATCGACTTTGGATTGATCCAATGTATCAGTTAACGTGTAAAGGTACAAATACAAATATTTACCTGTTTGTAAATGCCTTTTATTCATAATCAACGGTGAATACAACCTTTGCCCAAAATGCTCTAGGGATATCTATATACAATGATGTACTCATTTCCATCGACCTACATTAATTTCAACATCAACGCCAATATTCCTTGAAAGAATTAGTGGTAGGCTTATTAGACTGTAACTTCATATCTTGAAATAAGAGTTGATTGGAGTTTCATTACTAACTAACATCATTTGGAGAATTATTAGAAAAACATGAATGAAGATATACATATGGTAATATTAGTTAGCCCCTCTACAGTTGGCACCCGATGCATCCACGTAGAATTGAACGTAGGATCTCATATGACTCGAAGGCATGACTTTCAGGTTTCGTAATTGCTGCGATAGCATATTTATCAATGATCAATATTTCGAACTTCAGTCCACTGTCGAGGTGACGAAATTTGTAATGAAGCAGTTCTTGATCAAAATTACCATAAATTGTTGATAAGATCAATTAGAAGCGTTCTAACGTGATCATGGTGATCATAGTATCTAGATTCCAGCTAAATATGGGAAGTAGATGCGTAAGAGCGAAATGTATGATTTGTAGGATGCAGAGTTAATTCAATGAAAAAAAATTATTCACAGACATTGAAAATGACTTCATTATTTTTTCACTTCTGATAATTTGCAATTAATGTACAAAGTTACTTTCAAAGAGTTTAAGATATTTAAGTTAGTTAACTCATCTATAGAAGTCAAACAACATTATAAATTAATGATGTGATATTTCGTTTCATTTAGGACCTACAGTTCCGATATTCAACATCAGCTATTTTTCTGACGAGATTTTTGTCACCGATTGATTTCTTTGCTCTCGCTTCTCGTCGTTTCGGTACGGATATACGTATTTTGTAGTCTCCAACGAGTGATAGTACAGTTACTTGACTGCATTAATTCTAGTAAGTATGATATTTGCTTGTGGACTTGTATATCTTGTGTTTCGAGGGAGTTTGTCTTAGATCAACGAGAATCCTGGAAACCAGTAGCTATCACATAACATGAAGGAGGTTGGTTCTTTGTGATCATAAAAATGATTAAGTGTTTATTCGAGTGCTAAAAGTAGACGATTGTCCCAATAAATAAATAAGTTAACTAATTGGTAATTTGTGATAAGACCGAATTGAAAGAGCAAAAGGGTAGACGTAAATGATAATGAGAGAGATTGGAAGTAGTTACTGATATGTGTTAATGATGATCGTGTTAAATTATTGGACAGGCACAAGACACAGCAGGTTTTATTCTGTCTATAGAAATGGTCTGCTTGTTGCCATCTCTGTTGATGATGAAGTATTTTTGTGTGCATTTAATTACTTTATATGGGCCTTTGTATGGTTGTTTTAATGGTTTTTTAACCGCATCTACTCGGACGAAGACAAATTTGCACGTTCAAGGTTTTTATCAAGTTGGACTCGATTGTTGTGTTCACGAGGTGATATTGCTTTAATATTCTGCATCGTTTGTAATAGGCGACTTGCGAAGTGAGTAGAATCCCCGTGCGTTGTAGGTTCATAGTTGACTAGTTGACCAGGTAGCGTTAGAGTTGTACTATAGACTAACTCGGCGGCTGTACATCCAATGTCTTCCTTTATGGTTGAACGAGTACCGATGAGTACAAGAGGTAAGGCATCGCTCCACTTTGATGAGTCAGCTTGCGCCATCAGTGAGCTTTTTAATTGACGATGGAATCTTTCAACCATGCCATTAGCTGCTGGGTGGTAAGCTGTGGTTTCAATGTGGCTGACCCTTAGAAGTTTAGTGAACTCCTGAAAAAGGACAGATTGAAATTGTGGACCACGATCTGTTGTGATTATTGATGGTACTCCATAGTTAGATATCCAGCGGTCGAGGAAGCCTGAAGCGACTGTTTCTGCCGAAGTGTCTTTTATGGGGCAGGCTATGGCCCATCTAGTAAACTTGTCTACTGCGGTGAGAATGTGGGTGAAGGAATTGGACGGAGGCAGTGGCCCAACTAAGTCCAAATGAATATGTTGAAAACGTTTGTCGGGAATAGGGAATTCCCTGATCGGGCTGATAGTGTGTTTTTGGATTTTGCTGCGTTGGCACTGTAAGCAACCACGTGTCCAACGTTTAACATCCGAATTGATTTTTGGCCAAACAAAGCGTTCTGTGATAAGCTTCGTGGTAGCTCTGATGCCCGGATGCGACGGTCCATGTAGCTGTTGAAATATTTTTCGTCGACAGGGTTGTGGCACAAAGGGGCGATTATTACCCGTTGAAGTGTCGCAAATAATAGATGCATCTGAGAAAGCAATGGGTACAAGTTTAAGATTCAAGTTAGACTTCGGTTTGCAGGTCTTCAAATCTGGATCGTCCATTTGTAGTTTAGCTAAAGGTTCAAGGCTGATGTTGTGGTTGTGGATATATCTTGTACAAATTTTGTTTCCTATCTTATGGTGTGATGTGGTTTGTCTGGTTGATATATAAACCCAGTATGTTTGAAATAAATGATTCATATCGCAGAGTTCGAGATTAGTGTTCTGGACTTAACAGGCAGGGCTAGGCGGGAAGCAGGACCGATAAGGATTCCAGACTGCTCGTACTTGTTTTATGTGTCATTGATCCTGTCGATAATTCACTGTTCTCTAATTGGCGGTATCATTACGATATTACATTAATAGGACACAGAGCACAAGATATAACAATACCCAAACACATTAAATTAAAGTTCAGTGTTGAAATTCAAGATGTACCACTTTTCTCAAGATAATAATGATTATCATCATTTTCTAATGTGATTGTTTTCAGTGAATGAATAGAATAATGCTTCAGTAAACAAATTGCCTAAAAATATTTTTGAATAAAGATCTTCAGTAAGAATTAAATTATTCATCTTGATCATGTGTGGCAATGTTATCAAATACAAAATAAATTTACCAAATGAAATTCGAAACATGAATATTTACTTTTGAAAGACTTTTGTTGTTGTACAATTGTGCTTAAATCAATGAAGAATGTTTGTTTAAAGATTCATTATTTGTGATATGTAGACTGTATTAATCTTGATAGATCTTCTATATTTCCTATTACCATTTACTTATGTTAATAATATGATCTGTTTATTAGTTACTTAAATATTTCCAAAATCTCCACAAAACTCCTTCTGATAATAATCATCTGCTCATTAGTGACTGACTTCAAGAGATACTCTTCGAGTTCTAACGAGAAGCCGTGACCAGTGGAGTTCAATCAGTTCTGTTGTGAGATATTAGCTGGCTGAACACAATTCTGTACGGTGGCGCAACTTCGTGGATTCGTTGAAGTTAGACATTAACACCTTTGGATGCCGGCCCAGTGGTCTAGTTGGTTAAGCGCCTGGCGCGAGACTGATATGTCCTGGGTTGGAATCTCACGTTGTGCGGGATCGTGGATACGCACTGCTGAGAAGTCCCATACTAGGACGAAACGGCCGTCCAATGCTCCCAGGATTCGAATCTCGCGAGATGAGATCGTGGAAGAGCACGGCTGAGGAGTTGAGTGCTTCCAGGTTTTCCATGGTAGTCTAGCTTCAATTGACTCATGATTTCAATCAGTGAAATTTCTGAAATCTCCACAAAACCCCTTCTGAGAACTTAAATATTTATCAAATATTCTATTCATCATATTCGAAGTTTGAATGGCGCGTAAAAAAACACAAATAATTTTTATAATAGTTTGGTATTATTTTTGTTTAATACATGTAGTAAAGCACTTCATTGTTACAACAACCAGAAGCTACTGTAATATACAAGACTCTGGCATTCGATAAATCTCGTTGTTTATATTAATTCTTAATTAGGTAAAATGTCTAGTTTAAATTGTAGCAAAAAGAAAACCTAATAGAGTAAGAGAAGTTACATAATTCATGAGTTTCGTTGTCCCCCGTATTTCTTTTTCAAATCTTCAAGGAAGAAACCGAATGTTCCTTGTAAACGTAAACACAAGTTTAACCTGTTGGTAAAAAAATTAGACAATTTAGTTTATTGATTACACAATAAATGATAAAATACATAGCATAATTAGAACATCATCAATGTTCATACAAAGTGCCAAAAATCAATGATTTAGTACTCATTGCTGACTGGACAAATGCAATTACATTGAATAACTTGTATAGGTGACCTAATTTCACAGTAATCCTATGTTGACTTGTAAGTAGTGTCAAGATGGATTTTCATTTCTAGAAAGAAGCATCAACCTATAGAGGTAACAATGTTTCGAGTGAGCTAGTTGACCACTGATATTATTAGAAGAAAGTAGATCATTGATTTTAAACTCCGTAATATACCTAAAGGTTAATCATCTGACTTGATGTTTAATGTTGAATACACCCAATTGAGAAACCCAATAATATGAAAACATAGCTACATAGTAAGACCTCAAGTTAAAAGATCCATTTCTGATTTCGTTTCATGAATAAACCATATTCAAATTGTCCACTACTCAACAAACATGATTTAATTATGAATCTTACACGTAGTTAAAGATGAGATAAACTTACCAACATTCTAAGAAAAATGTCCTGTATATTTAAATATTAATTAATAATCTGTTTATAATAGAAAAATAAAATATTGACTTCTGAAAACAGTGTCAAAACTTGCATTGAAAATCCCATAAGAGTAATTCGACTATCTCAAAAGAACTAACGTATGTTGATTTATATACTTGAACACCACAGTTTCATTGTTCAATATTAATTATCTGACATAATTTTAATTCATTAAGGAAACGTTTTCTGGAGTACGACATTTACATTTTAGATCAGCTTGAGACATCTAATATATCAATGAAAACACTAAGTTATTGAATGTATATTACTTTGTGGATATTATAGTATTTTAATACTTGAAATCATGAGTCAATTGAAGCCAGACCACCATGGAAAACCTGGAAGCACTGAACTCCTCAGCCGTGCTCTTCCACGATCTCATCTCGCGAGATTCGAATCGAGGAGCGGTCCTAGTGAGAAGCAATGAGCAGTGGAGTTCAACCAGGTCTGTTGTGAAATAGTAACACAGTGAAGACAATGGTGGATGTGTTGCTCAATTTCATGGATTGGCTGAAGTTGGACATTAACACTGTTGGATGCCAACCCGCTCAGTGGTCTAGAGGTTAGGCGTTCGCGCGCAAGACCGATATGTCCTGGGTTCGAATTTGGAGATGTAAGATCTTGGATGTGCACTGTTGAGGAGTCTCACGTTAGAACAAAACGACCGTCCAGTGCTTCCAGGTTGTTCATGGTGGTCTAGTTTCAATTGACTCATGATCTCAACTAGTAAAATTGATGTCACAGTAACAAATCTAATATTTTGAATGGATTACTTTACCTGTGCTAAACTAACAACAACGTTCATTAAAGAATGGTTCGCATTAAACTTAATGTAGCTATAAACTACTGATTAATGTGTATATAACAATTCTTTTCTCAGTGAAACAGTTTTCATTGCCATAATGGTTCATCATTAAACCGACTCGCGTTACTGGATGACAATGAAAATCATAAATCTACTTTTGAGCAACTTTAATAGCAAATTAATGATTAAGAAAATTCCACGATAGTCTAAATGACCTATTGTAAATTTACTTTCATAGTTAAACTTACCTAACGTCGAAAATAACTAAGAAACAACATTTGCATTCTGTAAGTTTTCTATTTTCAAAGTAATTTTTATCAAATACCGTAGTTTATATGCTTAATGGGAAATAGGAAAGTAAAATTTGGAATGTCTTAAATGTCATTCATTACCCAAAAAAATACACGATCAAAACAACACTTCTACATGCATTGCAAAACGCCCTTCGAAACTCAAATCCAATTAACATCACCTCAAATGTGGAATTTATTTATTGAGCTACAGAAACATGAGTACCATTCGTTGGTGTAATAGAAACAGTATTGTCAAGGCTTGGTACTTTTCGCAGCCTAGTAACTATACCAAATTAATTCATCATGTTAATGCTAAATAACTATACATGTTAATTATCTTGACTGTCTTGATGATAAACGTTTATAGCGCTGACTAAAACACATTCTATAGAAAATAATATATAGTGCGTGTCGTCTATTTGCTGAAATATCTTACGCAGTACAAATTTACGTTATTTGACGCTATGGTCATTTTCTCAGAAGAAAAATAATAAGCACAAACGCAAGGAATAATATCCACCACATCCAGGTGATAAGTTCTCATGGTGTTAAATATCAGTAATAACAAGAACAATAACATACTGTTTAAATTAGTGAATATTATCAAACTGACGTAGAGAAACTCAATTAACATGACCTGTTTAATATTAAAACGAATACCTCGAGTTGATATTTTAAGCTTTTGTCTGCGTTATATCATGTACTGAATGAATCAACAAATGTGAACAATCGGTTTTTCAGAGGGGGTCATTCAAAATTTTATCAGATTCTTATTTTAAGTGATTCCAGTATAATCATGGTTTGACTTACCACCTTCTCCAGACACTACTGTATATAGGATATTAAAATTGCTCAATACGTAATTGCTTGATTATCAAGGATAAATATTCAAAGTGTTGTGATCAGACAAAAAGGTCACATCAGTTGCCGAAAACACTCATTTTTAAACGGAAATCGGGATATGTTAATGTCACCGAATCGCCTTTACACTCAAGTACAAACAACAAATACATCTCCACTACATATTTATAGATTTAGACTGTAGTAACCATCTGTAATTAACACACTAAAAAGTAGTAATTTTATAAAACTTTCTGTGAATCCAAAAATGAAACATTTTCCTTAACTCTGACTTGAAGGACCATAGTACTAACTAAAAAAGTCAATTAAGACCACTGTTGGTGGGATTGATATTGTAGTGAACGAGGACACAAGTGGAGACAATCGAATTTATTTGAACACAAAATTACAGAATGTGAATCATGCAGTAAGTTCTTCATTTGCAAAATGTCAATCAATCGCCTCAGATTTCAATTTTTCTTCGTTTTCACACCAATCATTCTCTGTTCACGTTCTCTTTTCTTCAATCTTCTTAACCTTCTGCCACCATGCATTTCACTTTCTGTTGACGATACATACTACTTATATTTGTCGACATCAGTAGCACACACCACATGATTTGATGTTGATAAGAGTAATGCGTCTCAGATGTTTTTATGAACCACAGTCAAATATTCAAATTTTTCAGTAATTACCAATCAAGACTTTATCATACATGTTGTTGTAACAAACGAAACTTGAAATGACCGATTTCTAAAACGTAAGTAAACTACATATATCGTGATATTTAAAAGTAACGGTTTAGAGACGATGAAATAATTTGAGTCCATTTCTATTCAGTTAAGCAAATATTGAACTCTGCCTGTAGCTCTTCTAGAGTTTTTGCCGGTCCCAAGCCCGGGTAAAAGAGGAGGATTGGATATGAGGTTAGCGGCCCTATTCCGTAGAAAACTAACTCGCTAAACAAACGCTAACCAGAAAGCAAATATTGACAGATATTTAGTCTGATTCCCCAACCCCAGAAATCATTTATCAACATCATTATTCACACTATCAACTAATCATATTTTAATAAACTTACCATTAATTCCTTCAAGAAATATAAGCGATAAAGTTAAAACTACTGTAGATAGTAGAAAATAAGAATGCATTATTTCATGTAGATTGTTCTAGAACATTTAACAAAACGTTATTCATATATACTATTCCATTAGACATCACAGGTATTTATAAACAGTTCATGAGTTATATTTGTAACCCCTACATGTCAACAAATCGATTATATTCAGTATTTGTATTCTCTTTAAAGTAATTTGATCCAAATAAACATTACTTCTTTTTTGATATAGATCAAGTTTCTATTTAAGTTGAAACTATACTCCAATAAAAAACAACAACAACAACATGATTTACCTTAAGTATTTAGCACGATTATTAGGACTAAAATCGATTTTGTTAGTAAAGGATATAATAGAAACCAATCCATTCGTGTTTTTATTCTAAGACACATTTACTGTAAATTATATTGTGTTAGTAAGTTATGTATATTACTGATTTTTATTTGAAGTAGTGTAGTGAACAGAACACGAGTGGGGACAATCAAACGTCATGGTTAACTGTGTTCACATTTCCTCGCGGTATTAGTACTTTTACAAAAATTCTCATATACATATATGATTGTACAGCTTGATAATAAATTCGTTGGAAAGAGATCCCTTCGCTGAACAATCAAACGTACTTAACACAAAATTACAGGACCTGTTAATAAAATCTAACAATAATTAAGTAAATGCTTAATTTGCAAAATATCCACCAATTGTCTCTTAATGACTCAGACTTGATTGTTCTTGCATTTTTATACAAATTGCATTCTCTTTCGATTCTTTACTGTTCGATCTTCTTGTCTCTCTGCTGTCAGACCTTCTGTTCACGACTAACATCATATACTACTTATGTCAATATAAGTAGCACACACCACAGTAGTAATAAAATATCGTTTCTAAAAATCAGAATGGGTTTTGTGGAGAATTTTAGAATTTTCACGATCCCGCACTGCTGAGGAGTCCCATACCAGGACGAAACGGCCGTCCAGTGCTTCCAGGTTTTCAATGGTGGTCTAGCTTCAACTGACTCATGATTTTAAAAACTGTGAAAGTTTCTAAAAATATTTTAATATTATAGGTACTATGATTGATAATCTATTTTATTTAAATTGAACTTTCGATATAGTAGCAAGACTGAAACTATCAGTTCATCTAGCATTAACTATTTATCTCATTCAAACCAGATTCTTTGATAAAAGAATTACGTTATCAAAATGAATAAAGTAATTTTTTACGTGCGATCAATAACAGTTAATCCATATGGTTTCTATATTTTAATAGTTGAATTCCTAAGTCAATATAAGTTGAACCACCATTGAAAACCTGGAAACATTGGACGACCGTTTCGCCCTAATATGGGACTTCTCAGAAGTGCTCATTCACGATCCTGTATGCTGGACTTGAACCCGTGAACTTTGGTCTTGTTCGCAAGCGCTTAACCTCTAAACAACTGAGCCAGCGTGCGAAACCGAAATTTCTGGGTTCAAATGTTGAGTGCGGGATCCTGTATGAGCGCTGTTAGGTAGTCCAATACTAGGATGAAACGGCCATCCAGTGCTTCCAGGTTTTCAATGATAGTCTAACATTCATCGATTCATGATCTGAATCATAATACGTTCAGCTGTACTCGTTTAATTCTATCGGCCTTAAATTTCACCATTTTGGGGATTCTTAGTTATCAAATCAGTTTAAACACTTCTAAACACCATGGAATCCTTTAGTAACTTTTAAATCCTTTATAGCGGCGATGATGGCAGCAAAAATACTGTTAACTAAGTGTTAATAATTCTAAATACTCCTGGATATATGTATTAGATTTACTGTAATTTAACTTTCAAAAGCTATTGCTTCTCGGATTACCCTTCCTAAAATCTATCCACACCAGTTTTTTATAATTTGTTGACAACTAACTCAAATTAAGTCAAGCAACATGACTATATAGTAGAGTTGGTATTGCATTATTTCTTCTATCAAAGTTGTATTTTTGTGTTTATTCTGACAATTGTTCACACTTTTCTGTAAGCTCATAAAAGTGATAATTTATTCTGAACTGACTACTCGTAATCATAATGAATCGATTATTTTCCAAATGAACAGATATTATTCAGCAAACACATCAGTTGGAGAGGCATTGAGGACAAAGAAGATTGGTTTTCGTTCGTGAATGATCACCTGTGCTTAAGCATTAAACCAGTAAAGATGGAAATCATGACCTTAAGTTTTCAAGTCGAGCGTGATACATTTAGAAAACGGAATAGAAGATTATTGGTTTGATTAACTATTCTTATTCATCATCTACAATCATTAATTGTTATCTTTCCAATCACGACATGATCGGAATCTATTAATCACAACTGCTCACTGCGAGTTCGATTATCTATCTCATATGTGATCAATAATAGGTGGATTGTGACTGTGATGAAATTATTATTCATCAGCTGACTTAGATTATTTTCATTCCACTAAGCAGAGCTCATCATCTGAGAACAATGTTTTAAGTATATTATCTACATTTATAACAGGTTTTTCATCCTGAAAAATATGGTCATTACTCTTGGTAGCTTGTCTACTGAATGTAATGGTAGAATGGGAATGAGGAAGGAATTTTCAACGCAGTTGAATTGATTTCGAATCAGCAAATTAAGATATAATTGGAATAATATAGAAGCGTCTGAATTTTGAGTGATACGACCATGTCATTTAGTTACTGATCATATTATCAAACAATCAATTTCGTACACCGGACATGATTTCCTATCAAACTTAACTTATATTAGTTTGTCTCTAAAACTGATTTTGAGGTGTTGTTTTAATATTTTCAAAATGGAGTGCATAGTAAATTGAATAACACTCAAGAAACCCCACTTTTACATGTAATTCCTACCGAACCAAAACATATTTCAGTATCATTGAAATCAACAGTCGATCTAACTTGAAACACCACTAGAAATCTGGATGCCCTTGGTGGCCGTTTTACTCTAGTATGTGACTCTTCAGACGTGAGCATCCACGACCCTTTCACACGGAATTTAACCCATGACACTCACTTTGGCGTAAACTGCTGAACTCTTGACCATTGACTATGGAAGCCAAAGGACGATGGTTGCAATGTGTCGAGGAATGATTGAATGTAAAACTTAACACCACCGGTTGCCAACCCAGTGGTCTAGATTTTTGGTGTTCGCGCACGATACTGATTTTCCTGGGAGCGGTCGTGGTTGCCTACTGCTGAGGAGTCCCATATTTATATGAAAAAGCCACCAAGTGCTTCCGGATCTTCAGCGGTGGTCTGAGTTTGATCGGTTGATGAGTTGAGTGAAGTCCAATTATCGTCACAACCTTTTACTGCGTAGTCTTGTTTGTCTTTAGTCCTGATGTAATATATGCTACTTAACCTGACAAATATAAGTAGTATGTGGCCGCAATCGAGAGTGAAATGACTGACAGCATAATTGAAGAGAATGGGATGGAAATCGAATAGGAATCAAAATAACAGCAGAATAAGAAGAATAATGGAGTATGTAAAGGCAGCGCAAAGAAGATGTGCAAACGATGTATTCATTGTATGATTTTCATATTTTACTAAACAACTGTGTTATTTTGCATTGAACAACACTTTAGTTCTCCATACTAACTATTCGTTCATCACGCTGATATCTGAAAAACTTAGTTTGAATCCAATTAAGGTCGCGATTTTGTTTCTTTTATATGTTAATTTACTATTTTCCAAATCCGAATTTCGATTAGTTTGGGTTTTACAACCAAATCGAAGATCAGAGAAGCATGTAATTTATCTCAGTATTGCGTGAAGAACAAAAATGTGAGTTTATATTTACACTTACTGTATACTATACGTTAAGTTTCCCACTGATTCTATCATATTTTATTGTATTAGCATGACAATTATCACCTGTTCATCTCCATAACTTAAGATCCTGTTTCGATCCTGTAAGTGATTTTCTGTATCCATGACTCATGAATCTCAGAATCGAACTGAAGTATTTCTGCATTTGTTTTCGATTTATCGTGATCTTTCAACGCTTAATTTGCTTGCTTAAATCAATTTTTATTGATCTCTACCAAATAAATATTTCTTTCAAGATTTGTCCATCTTTTAGAAGCAGAATATTGGAGAAAAAGGAGTATTTGATAGCCTCTTATCAAAGTGTAGCTAGAATTCATCACCATCAGTTCAAGATACATCATAAAGATAACAACCTGAATGAATTATCTACTGAAGGATCTAGATCTTTTTGATATCACGTGTATATATATCACTAGCATAGAGCATTATGTAAATATTGAGTACTACTAATTTGAAGGACTCGCACCACATCAAACATTAAGTTTCATTACAATGTGCGTGGTTATCAGTAGATGTAAAAAATTTTTATTCATAACTGATGTGTTTTGTTTTATAAAATTTTAGGAAGTAAACGTTTTTCTGTTACTATGGGTAACAGGTTTTATTTGCACCTCCAAGAGATACTGGTAATGCGTCCAAAAAACATCTGAATGTTTCAGCCAAACGTTCGTACAAGTTTTTCCTGAATGTGTAGAATATGAAGAAAGTGATAGAAACGATTAATAATTGTTCATGAAAAAGTAAGTGTAAACGTGTGTACAATGAAGTGAATATGCAAATTTTTCGAGTCAAAATGAAGTTGAATTCGTCTCATTGACCATAGATCACGTGTTTATAGGATAAATATATTCTTAGAATTTACTTGAAACCTCTAACACTCCACCAGTACTTTATGTTATGTACCAATTACATAACATTTTTGGTATGACCCGATCGAGTGTAAAATAGATTCTACTGTTCCGTTAAATACAATGATTACCCTTTGAACTATTGTATTCTTTAGTACAATACAAACACACTGGTTTAAAAAAATACTATTGTCAACAGTGAGTAATGTAAATCCATATCTGTGAACTGAAATAAGTTGCGTGTTATTATATAGTGAACAACATATTGTTAACACAAGATCTGGCAACAACCGTCGGTAAAAATTCTTAAGAAAGGCTGATAATTTCATTTTGTT